AATTTTTTTTTTTTTTTGGTACCGGGGATTGAACTTGAGACCTCATGCTTGTGAGGCAGGGGCCAGAACCACTGAGCTAAAGCCCCGGCCTTAGTAGGATCAATTTGAAAGTGAATTGCTCATGGATTTCTTGTCTGCAGCTCCTTTTACTGAGATCTTTGTCCCACTTAGGCTCTTGGAATCTGATTGGCTCCCTGGCTTGTCTTTTATTCTAACCTTGGATTTCTTCTGGCCATGTGACCTTTCCCCATCCTTGGTGGAGGGTAAAATTATGGCTGGGGACTTTATGGACAAGTAGTTTAGTTTTAAGGATTAAGTAAAGGGAAAGCTTGCCATTCTTACGTTAATCATGCTACCTGGGAACTTCCCAGTCCTGAATTCTTTGCCTTTGTCTTCCTAATTGCTTGAGTCTAGCTACCTTTGCCCTTCTAATTGCTGGAGTCTGGCTACAGAGGTCAAAACTTTCTTATTAATTTTTAATAAAGCTGAATGAGACCTTCATTCTATCTTTTTCTTACCTGCAGTGCTCCCTGTCCTTACATTAACAATATTTCAAGATTTGTTTTATTTTATTTTATTTTCAGGACTGAGGATGGAAACCAGAGCTTTGCACATGCTAAGGAAACACTGTATCACTGCACTGTCTATCTTTAGCCTCTCTCAAGTAGTGATTTTTCAGACTAACCTCCCATTCTCAATAAATACCATTAATTAAGGGTTCTCTTAAGGACATAGTTCTCAGTTGGGTACTATAGAACTTTCAGAAGTGTATGGTATGATGCTTTTATTTCTTTTGGGAAGATACCAAGAAGAGGTATACCTGGGTCAAATGGAATCTCTTGTTTTAGTTTCTTGAGAAATCTCCACACTGATTTCCACAGTGGTTGCACCAGCCTACACTCCCACCAAGAGTGCAGGAGGGTTCCTTTTTCCTCACAGCCCCTCCAGCATTTGTTGTTGGTTGATTTCTTTCTTTCTTTTTTTTTTTTTTTTGGTACCGGATATCGAACACGGGGCAGCAGGCGGTGAAACCATTGAGCTAAATCCCCGGTCCCATGGTTGACTTCTTGATAGCAGCCATTCTTTCTGCAGTGCAATGGACTCTCAGCATTGCTTTAATTTGTGTTTCACGAATGACAAATGATGCTGAACATTTTTTCTTCTATTTATTCATACCACAGAAATATATGCACATCCGTGTTTATAGAAGCAGTTTGTAACAGCTAAATCTTGGAAACAGCCCAAATTCCCATCAACAGACAAGTGGATAAGGAAGATGTGCGGGTTTTTTTTAATACAATGGCATATTACTCTGCCATACAGAAGGATGAGCTTCAGACATTTATAGCTAAATGGTTGGACCTCGAGACCATACTCTTAAGTGAAATAAATTGGACTCACATGTTTAAATATCATATTGTTTCTCTGGTGTAAGAAACTGGAAGTAGAAATAAGGACTGAAATGTATAACAGATGTTGGCAAATGGGAAGAAAGCATTCAAATGGGAAGGGGAACAAGGGAGGAGGGAGAAAGGAAAGAAGGGACAAGAAAAAAAGTGAAAATAGAAGGAAAAGACAGAAACAAAGATTCTGTACATAGGGAGGAGAGGGGGCTTGAGTGGAGGAATGGGATAAAATAAAATAAAATTTATATATAAAAAAAGAAGTGTACAGTACAAACCATGCTGGAAAACTTAGCTTACTTAGATTAGGTTAGAAAACAGTGGGAGGGAAATAGCTATTAAACAATATTACTTTGAAGTATTTACCAATGAAATTAGATGAGCTCTGGGTTTTGCTTGAAAATAGTCCAAAAAGGATTTTGGAAGGTAGTAGTGAACTGGGGTACAGATGAAACCAGGATGGCCCTGTGTTGATTTTCACTGTAGCTGGATAATAGGTACATGGGAGTTCATTGTTTTTCCTTCTGTGTATTTTGAAATTTTCCCTAACAATAAAAACAAAACAGCAAATCCTTGAGATACAATTGAGCAAGAATGAAGAAAACCAACCAATTCATTCATGCAGGAAGCCACGTGCTATAATCAGAGCTTGCAGTTATACACCGATTTTTCATTTTCATCTTTTTGTGTTTTGGGGGATGTTTTGTTTTGTTTTGTTTTGTTTGTTTGAGAGAGGGTCTCATTATGCAGTTCAGACTGATCTTGAGCTCACTATGTAGCCCAGGTTAGCCTTGAACTTGTGGTGATACTTCTGCCTCAGCCCCCCAAGTGCTGGGCTTACTGGCATGCACCACCAAGCCTGGCTTGGTTTTCCATTTTCAAAACACTTGTGCATATCAGTAGATATTGTACTGTCTTGATTCATAGAAGCACTTTCATATTTTAATGTTAATGAAATCAGGATGCATTTTATAAAGTGGTAGACAATTAACATCATGCTTCTAACTCCCTACTTTTAATACAAATGCAAAATCTGCTATTAAATTGATGGTGCATTCAACCATGAAGGACCTCTGACAAGTGAGGAAATAAGAATTTGGCATATCTGAGCTCCCCAGTGCTTCTTAGGTTGGTCTCTGGAGGCTGAAGAAGGAGGATCAAAAGTTCCAGGTCATCCCGGGCAATGTAATGAGATCCTATCTCAAGAACAAAAATTTAAAAATACTCTATCACTATAGAGCACTTGGCTAGCATGCAAGAGACTGTGGGTTCAATGCCCAGTAGTACTGAAAGAGAAAAGGAGGGAAAGAAAGAAGGAAGAAATAAATTACTATAGCTACATGAGGAAATAAGTTCAGATTTGAAGTGACTTGTTCAAATTCACACACTTCTTGAGAATTAAGATTGAAACTGGAGCATGAGAAATCCAGGCCAAGGTTCATTTTAGCAGTTTTTCTGCAACACTAAAAGTTTCCCAGGCTGGCTTTCCCTGAAAGTGAACAAGTAGCCCCAGGTGGTTTGCTTGCCCATCAGGAAAGAGCTCTCTATCTGGGGAGAAGCTGGAAGAGGTCCTTGATTGCCCTGTAACTAGTTCAGGGCCAGTCATAGAGGAGGTGGTGAGTTAATTGAACACTCTTAAAAAGCTCAGTGGAGCTGAACCCTTTTAGAAAATATAAAGCCAATGCAAAATGTCCCAGACACCCAATTTGCAATAGAAATTTATAGGTGGGGAAAAGGAAGAGGGGTCCCTTTGTAAACTCATTCAACAAATGTGAGTTGAGCAATTACCAGTTGCCAGAGGTTGAATGATGAAGTACACAGTTGGTTCATAGAAACCTCAAAGAGCGGATGAAGAGGAGGGAAGGAGGAAGACAGAGAATATTAAACATGAAAATGCAGTGTTTTGTTTGTTTGTTTGTCTGAAACAGGGTCTCACTATGTAGTTCAGGCTGGCCTCAAATTTAAGGTGATCCTCCTGCTTCAACCTCCCAAGTGTGGAGACTAAAGGCATGTTCTACTACCCCCTGGTATGTCTTTTTTTTTGGTACCAGGAATCGATTGAACTTGGGACCTTGCACTTTCAAGGCAGGCAGCAGAACCACTGAGCTAAATCCCCAGCCCCTGGTAGGGAATTTAATACTATTTTCCTCTATCTTTGCTTCTTTCCCATGAGAGTAAATAATAAAAATACATCAAGACCACTAAATATTAAATGTTCATTTTTCTTGAGAAATGCATAAAGCCACAATGACAAAGAAAACAGAGGGTTGTAGGGAACAAGAAAAGGTAGCAAACACATGGAAACAGAGCAAGCGAGTGGAGGGGTGGTAACTGACTTTGCTGACCAGAAGATGAGCTATAAGCCAGCAGGAAGACAGTGAATAAAAAAACAAGTTATGGGGCTGGGGATTTAGCTCATTGGCACCGTACCTGCCTTGCAAATGCAAGGTCCTGAGTTTAATCCTGGTACCAAAGAAGGGGGGGCCTGTGATGTATATAGCTCAGTGGCTCCACACCTGCCTGGCAGCACAAGGTCCTGAGTTCTATCCCCAGTACGGGGCGGGGTGGGGGGGCAGTGAGGTTGGAGGGAAGCAAGCTAATTTCTGTAACAGAACCAAGGGACAATCTAAGGAACTAGAAACACAAGTCATCCCTGAATGCAAAGTCAGAATTGTGAGACCAAAAGTGAACCTAAGCAACGCCATCTTGGCCTGTGAGTAAACTCCCCTCATACCCCCCCCCTTACAGAGTGCTGGAGTTCTCCTAAAGATGCATTTTTGTAACTGCCCTTCTAGCCCTTCTAACCACTGCTCTGCTTTTGTAGATACGCTTTATCACTCCCTGGGAACAGATGGTGCCTGGTGCCTCCGGGTAACCTCTGAACCCTGTAGCCATTGAATGTCCTATCTTGACAAGATAGCTGGGTTGTGAAAGACAATTTGCAGCTGGTTAAAGGAAGTGATGACCTCTCCCTGAGTTTCTTTGTTTGAGTTATCTATAAAAGCCGTGCTGTCCCCTGTTTCTGGGCTTCCCTTCTCCTAGAGGGTGGAGTCCAGGTGCGTGAATAAATTCCTTTTGTGAGACCAAAGTGACTCCATTTTGCTTATGTGAAACCAGAATGACTCCACTTTTGCCCAAAATGGAGTAGTCTCCTTTGTCCTCTCACATTAATGATTAAAATGTGCTTGATCTAGGACAAAAGATACAATCTGTAACAAACCAAAGTTCCTAAGTTAATTACTCATTAATTAATCTGTTTACCCAGGAAATGAACATCCTGGGCCCACTATCTGTAGGAACCGTCTGTCAATGTGCTGACTGTCAGTGCTGAGTGGTCATGACCATTAGTCACCGTGTCTGCTGACCATCAATACGTGACAGTTGCCCACTAACCTTTGTCCTTCTTTTCTTTTGTAAAACCTATACGTAATCACCCTTTACCCCTGATGAGTTCACCCAATCAGAAATATACACTTCATGCATGTTAAGCACTGACCAATCATTGTAACTGCTAAGTAGAGAATCTCCAAACCTTGCTGTAACCTCTATAAAAACCCCGCTAATTTAGAACTCGGGGCTCTCAATCTCGATCCGCTGTGTCAGTGACAATTGAGAGTCCCTGCTTAAGCTTGAATAAACGACCCTCCTGCGCTTACATCGGAAACGGCCTCCTGGTGGTCTTTGGGACCTCACAATCTGGGCACAACACTTTCAGTTTTTAACTCTGTCTTTGTCCCAGTGTTCGGGGATTTCCTGGCTCGCTTGGCCTAACAAGAATGAGAGGGACACGGGCAGATTGGTAAAGTCAGACCAGGGCAACCTCCACATCACCTGGTGGTGCTGGGCTCTGGGCACTGGGCAGGGACAGCTGCCTGACTGGAGGTGAGCTCTCTGGAAAGCTTGAACAGAATGGACATCATTTTGGAATGGAAGAGGTGAGTGTGAGAAACCAGTCCATACTGAAGAGGGAGGAATTAGGAGACAAAGCTCCTAAAGATCAACCCCTCCAGGTCCTTTCCCCATTCGTTATTGAGGTGCAGAGTGAGGTCATGACCCAGGCAGAGCACTGCAGAGTTCCTCTCCTGGGTTTTTCCCATCTTTACCTGAAAGGGAACGACACATGGGGACCAGGAGCAGCCAACGCGGAGGCCAGCGCCCCACCAGTGCCCTGCCCAGGTGAGCAGCTCCCTCAGCTCTTCATGCCAAGCTAGGAAAGTGGAAGGGCCAGGTGTGGAGGAAGCCGCAGACCAAGATATACAGATGTCAGGGAAGCTTGGGACCTGCAGGAGGGAGGTTCTGCCTCTGGCTGTTGGAGGATAATACGGGTTGGCTGTTACCTCCTATCAGAAACTGTACAGACTTCTATAAAAAAAAAAAAAAAAAAAGAAACACCAAACTCTTGTTTTTCAAACATTAGGCATCAGGTAGAAGAGGACATAACTTCTAACAGACAAGGTGACTACTGTGATTGCCAGCTCCAGATAGCTGCAGAGGTGCGCTTGAGCCTATGCTGAGCATGAGGCCTGCACACACTGGGTGCAAGGCCACAAGGTCAGTCAACAAGCAGCTGCAGAACTATAAACTGATTGCTTCCTGGAACTCACACAGGACAGAGATTTTGTGTTCTAGCTGGCCTGAGTGAGAAAATGTATGATCTTACCCTCTACAGTCAGTACAGCTCGAAGTAAGTACAAAGAAGAAAGTAATATAGATCAGAGCAGAAACCAATGAAATTGAAAAGGAATAGTGTTTAAAAATCAATAAAGCCTCCTGAATGTGGTGGGACAAACCTGTAAGCTCAACACCTGGAAGGCTGAGGCAGGAGGATGGCTGGGAATTCTAGGCCAGTCTAGGCTACATAATGACTTCAAGGGCAGCCTGAACTGCCTACTAAGACCCTGTCTTTTTTTTTTTTTGGTATCGGGGGGATGGAACTCTGGACCTTGCACATGCGAGGCAGGCGGCGGCACCACTGAAATAAATCCCTGAGATCCTGCCAAAAAAAAAAGGAAAGAAGGAAGAAAGAAAAAGAAAAATCAACAAAGTTTAATCTGGGTCTTTAGGGGGGAAAATCATTAAATTTGATAGACTCTTAGTTGACTAATCAAGATAAAAAGATAAAAAATAAGATTGGCATGATGACACATACCTATAATCCCAGCTATTCAGGAGGCTGAGGTAGGAGGATTACAAATTTCAGGCAATGTAGCGCAACACTTTTTAACAACAAAAGAAAGAAAGAAAGAAAAACAGAGGTTAGGACCAAGGATCTAGCTCAGTGGTGCTGCCACCTGTCTCGCAAGCGCAAAGTCCTGAGCTTGATCCTCAGTACCAAAAAAAACCCCAACGAAACCAGAGCTTGGATGCCGGGCATTTAGCTCAGTGGTTTTGCCACCTGCTGCACAAGTGCAAGGACCTGAGTTCAATCCCTGGTACCAAAAAAAAAAAGTGACTCAAGAAGAAATAGAAGTCAGGTGTAGTGCCTTTGGCCTATACCACCAGAATGGTGGGAGCCTGAGGCAGGAGGATCATAAGTTCAAGCCCAGCCTGGGGTGTCTCAAAATTAAAAAGGGCTAGAAATATAGCTCAGTGCCAAGGCCGTGAATTCAATCCCTAGTACAAGAAGGAGGAGGAAAAGGAAAAAGAAATTTGAAGAAACTTAAGTCTATTAAAGAGACTTGAATTTGAAATTAAAAAGATTCCTATAAAGAAAAGGATAAACAATTACATAAATGATCCCAATAGATGTTTGTGCACACACACACACACACACACACACACACACACACACACATGCATATCCTGAAAAAAAGACAAAATTCAACGCTCATTCATAACAGGAACTTACAGTCAGCTCAGAATAAAAAGGAAGGGAATTTTCTCAACTCATTAAAGGACTCAATATAAAACTAATAGCTGATATAAAACTTATATTTGATGATGAATGACTAAATGATTTTCCTCCAAAATCAAGAGCTCTTCCTACTTATATGTTTCCTACTTACTTATTTCAATATTATGCCAAATTTTAGTTTTCCAATAGGCAAGAAAAAGAAATGAAGGGTATAAAGACCAGACAGGAAGAGAAGGCTGTGTTATCTGGAGACAACATGATTGTATACATAGAAAATTGTAAGCAAATTATGAAAAAGTTATCAGAAATAATAATAAATGAGTTTAGCAGGATTGCAGGACAAAATATCAACATACATTTCCCAGGTGTTTCCCCAGCAAAAGGATTCAAATGTCTCAAATTGAAGTTTGTTTGGTTTTTTTGGTATGGGGGATTGAACTCAGATCCTTGCGCTTGCACAGCAGGTGGTGAAACCTCTGAGTTAAATCCCCGGCCTGTGGAAATTGAAGTTTTAACAATACCATTTACAATAGGATCAATAATACTCAGTATTTAGAGATAAATTTAACAAATTACACATAAGACAAATACAATAATCTGGGCATGGTGGCACATGTCTGTAATCCCAGCACTCAGGAGGCTGAGGCAGAAGGATTGTCATGAGTTCGAGGCCAGCCTGGGCTAAATAGTGGGTTCAAGGCCAGGCCAAACTACATAGCCAGACACTGTCTCAAAAAGCAAACAAACGGGGCAGAGGATTTAGCTCAGTGGTTTCGCCACCTGCTGCGCAAGCGCAAGGACCCAAGTTTGATCCCTGGTACCAAAAACAAACAAACAAACAAACAAATGAACAACCTGTATAATGAAAACTATAAAACACCACTAAAGTGAAAATACTGGGAGAATATAGCAATATTCATAGATTGGAAGATTTGATGTGGTAAAGATGTCAATTCTCCTCAGGTTTAACTAGACATATTAATGAAATTCCAATAATAATATGAGTGCTTTCTGTAGAAATTAACAATTTTAAAATTCATATGGAAATCTAAAGGAGTTAAGATAGCCAAAGCAATTTTGAAAAAGAAGCAAGTTGTAGAATTTATAGTAACTAAATTTGAGACTTACTATGAAACTATTATAATTAACATGTGTGAGGGCAGGAAATTTAGCTCAGCGGCACTGCGTCTGCCTTGCAAGTGCAAGGTTCTGAGTTTCATCCCCGGTACACACAAAAAAACAAGATGTGTGAAATTGGCATAAAAACCAACTTACGGGTCATGGAACACAATGGAAAGTACAGAAATAGTCTTGATTTTTTTTTTTTTTTTTTTTTGGTACCGGGGATCAAATTCAGGACCTTGTGCTTGCGAGGCAGGCGGTGGAACCATTGAGTTAATCCCCAGCCCCAGTCTTTATTTTTTATAAGATACAAAGGTAATTTAGTAGGAAAGAGTAGCCTCCTCAACAAATGGTGCTAGACTATGGCTATTCATGTGGAAAACAGTGTGTTTGACTTGTACTTATGCCATACCAAAGTTAACTCTAAAAAGATAAAAAATAAACATAAAATTTAAAGCCATAAAACTTCTAAATAACAGGATGATAGGAAATCTTCATGGAGTAGGAGTAGGCAAATTTTTTCTTGGATAGTATAAATAGTATACATAAAATACAAGCCATAAAAGAAAAAAAATTGATAAATTTTTTGAGATAAGATTTCACTATGTAGCTCAGGCTGGCCTTGAACTCACTATGTAGCCCAGGTTGGCTCCAAACTTGCAGCAATCCCCCTGCCTCAGCCTCCCAAGTGCTGGGATCACAGGTGTGCACCACCACGCCTGGCAAAAAACTGATACATTGAACCTAATCAAAATTAAAAATTACTTCTATTTGAATGACACTATTAAAATGAAAAGAAAGAAAAAATATTCTCAGTACATATATCTGACAAAGGGTAATATGTGGCATATACAAAACCCCCTTATAAATCAATGATAAAAATGGGCAAGGCATGTTTCCTCCCAAAAATATACAGATGAGCACACGAGAAAGAGTTCAATGCTCTGCGTCATCATAGAAATACTAACTAAAATCATAGTGAGGTGCCACCACATCCACTAGAAGGACTACAATTAAAAAGGTCGACAATACTGTATTTTTAAAGAGAGAGAGTAACTAGGGCTCTTTCACAATTGTTAGGAATGTAAAATGATACAATTGCTTTGGAAATATGAATGGCACTCCTACAAGTGTGTTTCATTGCCTGTAGATTATACCACACTAAGATTGATAAAATATTTATACTATCAAAGAAATAAATCCCTGTGCCCATGAAAACGAAAGAATCCATGGTGATTCTATGTTTATAAATCAGAGATACTAAGATAACTATCATAATTTTATAATATTTTATCAGGAATTTTCACTTCTGAAAGCTCCTGGAAAGATCTGCTTTCAAGCTTACTCAGGATGGTGACAGAATTCAGTTCCTTGTAGCCATGAATCTGACGGCTCTGGCTCTCCTGGCAGCCAGCCAGGTCCCGTGGTTAGCCAGGGCCTGGGCTCAGTGCTCAGAGCCCACTCACATTCCTTGGCATGTGACCCTCCTTTGCTTCCAAAGTAAGCAAAAATAGAATCTCTTTTGCATAAAGTCTCTCTCATGCTTCAAATCTCTTTTACCAGGGAAAGATCTATCCATTTTAAGGGCTTACCTGGTTAGGCCAGAATCAGGAAATACTGTAGTCTCCCTTTCTTCCTCCCTCCCTACCTCTCTCCCTTCATTCTCTCTGTCATTTATTTCCTCCTCCCATCTTCCTTCCTTTTTTCTTTCTTCCTCCCTTCATCTATTTTTCTTTCTTTCCTTTTATTTCTTTTCTTCTTCTTCCCTATTTCTTTCTTTCCTTTTTTCTTTCTCCCTTCCTTCCTCCTCTCTCCTTTTCCTTTTCTTTCTCTCTTTTGTAAATTATTGTTTAAAAGTATTGACAGATACCCAGGATTTAGCTCAGTGGTTCTGCCACCTTCCCTGTAAGCGCAAGGACCGGAGTTTGATCCCCGGTACCAAAAAAAAAAAAAAAAATTGACAGATAACAATTGTACAACCTTATATGATACAGTGTGATGTTTTTGTACATTTATTCCTTGTATGTTGATCAACTCAGAATACTTGGGTCATCCATCAACTCAAACATTTATCATTTCTTTGTGATGGAATACAGTCTCCCTTTTTTAAAATCAACTGTGAGTGTATAGTGAACTATTCATAAGACCCTTCCATACCCCAGAAGAGGGAATATACAAAGGATTCTGCTATTCTTAGCAGGGTTCTGGTGTACTGAAGACTCCCTCTAGAGATTCTTTCCAGGTTCTTATTGTCCTGAAGAAAGAATTGGGTTTTTGTTTTTGTGGGGGTTTTGTGGTTGCTGTTTTGAAACAGATTCTCACTATACAGTTCAGGCCTTGAGTTCACTAGGTAGCCCAGGGAAGGCCTTGAACTCATGGGGATCATCCTGCCTCAGCCTCCTGAGTGCTAGGATTACTGGTGTGTGTCACCACACCTCAGTTACTGAACAAAGAATTGGACAAGAAACATGTAAAAGATAGTGAGGTTTTACATTTATTAAAGGTAGGAAAGGAAGCATGTTCTGCAGAGTAAGAGTGGACCACTGTGAAAGGAAAAACACCCCATGAGGTTAATGGTTACAATCTCTTATATTCCCCCACTTCTTGGGTTGACATCAGATCTAGGCCATCATGTGAGAAAACCTGCTTGATCTCATACCAGAAGAACTGAAGGTAGCATTTTCAGCTTGGTCCCAGGTGCAGACCTTGGGGGTATGTGTCCCAACTGTCCTGGACACTTAGTGACAGGCCTTGCCCACTTGCCCAGCTGGCTGGTCACACCCTAATCTCCTGCCTCACTACCACAATAGGATCAGTATAAAACTTAGAGAAAAACGTTAAAAGAAATTTCAACAAAGTATTATGTTGTGGATGTTGAACGAT